TTTGTAAATTTTGTTTCATATCTACTTACTATGACAATGATGTGGCAACAACAGTTACCATTTTCAGATGGTTCCATCTTTAAATCAGAAAATTAATGTTCAACACTTAACCTCTAGCCATGCACAGTGGCTCAGGACTGTAATCACAGCACTTGAAAGGCTGAGGCAGGAGGATCAATCGAGGTGAGTTCAAGGCCAGCCTGGGCTGCATAGTGAGTTCAAGGACAGCCTGAACTACACAGTGAGACCCAGGCTAAAAAAACAGAAACAAAAACAAAAACAAAAACAACTTCTTAGGAGTCCTCCAGCAACATTACTCATAAGAAAAGGTTTTTTTGGACTTGGAGTTTAGAGACTGGACTTTTTTTTCATAGCTATGTGAGGCGTCATATCCCTGCTCAAATAATGCTAATTTTAAGTGCACATTGGAGAAAGAGACCTGATAAAGAATACTGTGATTCTGTACCGTTAGCAAATTACTGGTTAAAATTATTTTCTCCAGACTCTTTTGTCTTCAATTTGCAAACATATGTCAAAACATATTTTAAAAAAATTCAACAATGGCATAGGCAACGTGTCAATACAATGGTTTTCATAAACACCAAAACTTAAACTTTTGTATAAATAATTTAAAAACTGATTGAAAACTGTAAGTATACAGTATTTGCTGCTGTTCAATCCCCCAAATACATTTAGGACATAATTAGCTATTTAAAAATTTAATAGAAAACTTTTGCTATGGATTTAGCGTTACTCAGTTTCCATTAAATTTGCCTTGTGGAATCAAAACACCATGGCTCTCATTCCCCGCCCCCCCACCCCGGTACCAGAGATCGAACTCAGGACCTTGCGCTTGTGAGGCAGGCATGGCGCAACTGAGCTAAATCTCCGGCCCCCTCATTCTTAAATGACCGAAAAAGATTAGAAACATCAAAGTAGTTCTGAGAATAATTATGGTTTAAAACAAATCTTATGTATTTTTTTTTAGAGTCTATAATTTTTCCTCCTATTGTTTCTTCCTTTGGCTTTCTTATATCAGGACAAGCAAATATGCCAATATCACACTATTTGTTAGACATAAGAGCCAAATTATTACAAAGTTATTTCTTCTAAACTTCAAATTTATCCACTGTTAACAGGCATCT